AAACACATAATACAATTTTCACTAATCACAGAAATGATATACATTCATATATTAGGCACCTCGTCCTAGACCTGCTTTTACCAACACCAAGAGCAAAAACCCTGTCGGATTAATCTTCTGAATTTCAATTACTCTGCTTGGTACAGAAGAAACTATTTTATTCACACTTAGTGAGGAATTAGACTCAGACCAGCATTCTTCCCAGGCTGTCCTGAACTGACTAGCCACAAATTTGGGGAACATGAAAACAGTAGACCTTTTGAAATGTGAAAATATGCCATTTCCTCCAAGGCTAGAAAAAACAGTGGGAAGACCAAGATCAGAACTAAGAAATTTTTTGCTCTCAGCTACAGACTTGAGTTGCTGTAAAATGCTGTCTGTCTAAGAAATATGCTCAGAGCACTTTTAGGTTGATGGCGGTTGTTACTTTGTACAGAATTGCTTTGACACAGATTTTTCTCCTCAGTTTGGATAGAGAGCCACTTCTTGAGATGATTTTTAATTGGCACATGATTAACTGCGATCACAATAAGGTAAATATGTAAAGCTTGGTATTTAGTAGATGTATGTGTGATTGCCGTCTTGACTGAGTTCATGATTTCTTCCTCTGAATAGGCCTATTTTAAAAATAATGTATTTGCAAAAAAAAACCCCAACATTGCTATAGCAGGTATGTTTCGTATCTGCCCCATATCTTCACAGTGTATGTAAGCCACAGAGTAACATGGCATTTTTAGCTCATCATTTTGCATGGACTTATAGGCGACTTCAATGTGCTCCCCTTTTTTAAGCAGGGTGTGACCAGTTTGTTGTCCACTGCGATTCAGTGGAAACTCATGGTCCTCACTGCATGCAAAACAGGTCTCATTCACAGAACAGAGCCATGAAAGATTTGCTAAGAATTGTAAGATTGAGGGTTTTTTTTTAAATTTTTTTTTATTATTAGACTGGAACCCTTTTAAGATGGCACTCGATTTGTTAATCTTACTGTCTTGCCAAACGCCAGCGTCTACTTCCTGCCTCTAGGAAGGAGTCAATTCTGTCAATCAGATGATCAACGGACTATCATAGGCACTTGGCTAACTCTGCAAATCACAGCCTGTCCATTCTAATCCTCAGGCCAATTCAACAGCTCTACAACTGTGGGTACGTTAGAGCTTAAGATGGCCAGCGTGGTATTCTCATCATTACTGCTGTTCCTTACTATATTGGACAGAAATGGCACGTTAAAAAAAAAGAAAGACTTGTTTCTACATAAAGTTATTTCCTGTGAATACTTTCATACTACCTTCACCTAACATAATTTTCATGGAAATGAAATACATCCCTATAAAGAACAGCAGAAAAGCATGTTTATTACCCAAGGGGAATTACACTGCAGTGGTGTTCTGCTACCTTACACCAAAGTAAGGTCTTCTCTGACTCCAACTTAAGCAGCACAAGAATCTACTCTGCCCATCTCACCTATCACATTCAGAAGAAACATTCACCAATACTTAAAGAGTATTTAATAGCAGGCATTTAAACCTTTCATTGTGTTAATTCTTAAACAGGGACAAATAATATAGCATAACCTATTTTATATTTGAGGAATATTTACTATGCCCTTACTATCTGTGCCCTTCTGCCAACATTTCACAGCAGATAAAGCTACAGTCACTTTCAAATGCTGTCACACAAAATGGTTCATCTCATTTGTTTTCAGGTTTGTACCTTCTGCCAGGTTGTCTAACTGAATAAAGTAGTACTGAATTACAAAACTGTATACTAAACAGAAAGGAAGCTTTAAATTCATGTTTGCACATACAGTGTGTAAAAATCTATTGCAACCCACTCAGACACTTATGCTTAAGAAAGTTTAAAGAGGAAAACATACTCAGAAATCGACTTTGATGATAAAGTAACCTTTCCATATGCTACCCCTCATTTCTAGGGTTTCAAAACTGGCTTAACCAATATATTGGTATATTCACTGTGTTAATTCACTGAGTTCAGCTCAAGTTTATTATGCTAAATCCACTAAAATAGCTTTTTTTTTTTTTAAATCTGCACCTTCTTTTCTTAGGGACACTCTTGCACTCATAAAGTACAAGCAGCACAAGACAGGGTGCAATGTGCCTTTTTAATTACCCTATACAAAAGTAGCCCCATGCTGGAGCTGAACTGTTCAGAATCTTTTTTAGAGCATCTCATTATCTATGGAAGATCACGAACTGAAAGAAAAAGGTATGCTGAGCATGCTATTGATTACAGCTATGTTTGCCATGATTCAATAAGTTGAAATTTCATATACCAAATATTAAATTACTGAGATTATGCACTGGCTCATCTGCATCCATTTTTTATTCACTTTTATTTGGCTGAACATTTTAATCTTACTTACACAGTGACTAACTAAAAGTAAATGACGCATTCCTAATATTATAAATATGAGAAATAGGGTGTGCTCAGGGACTGCAGTTGAATACATTAAAATCACCCAGTTTGCTAGTTAACATATTTCCATCCCTTTTATGTACAACCTTTGCATTTGGTTGGCAGACCAAACGCATGGCCTTAGAAAAAACACTGTCTTGATTTTCTGTTGTGACAGCAGAAATTGTCCAAAATCTCTAAGAGTTTCCCCAAAGGACACTCAGTAGCTGGTACTTCCCAGGTGCAGCACAATCTGAATCCGAGGTGAACATCATGTCAAATTCCACTCATCTGTCAGTGTAGTGGATTATTTCTTGAGAGACTGAAATTGGCTGCCTGGGATCAGAACACCATCAATCTTATTCATGTAGGGCATGCAGAAGCTGCCGGGGAAAGGCTCGCAAGAAGAAAAGCTTGGCTGTTTCTAAGTAGGTGATGAGGCAGCTGTAAAACCTTCACTCTATCTGTATCACATCTGAGTGAAAGATTTTGTCATTTTTCACATTTCCCCAACACTTGGTATGCATTCAGTGTCTCGCTGTTCTTGCTTCATAAAAGAGGTGATTTTTCAAGCTTAGGCAAATGTTGCAGAGCTCTGAATCTGCCCAGCTCATTTTTTTCCTCATAATGTCACTTGTTTCAACTGATTTTACAAAACAAGGTTACATTTTCCTTTTACCTGTTATTTAGCTGGGCTTATTTTTTATTTATTTATTTTTATTTCCTTCACTGAGGGACAGACACAGATTACCAGCAGCAATACCTACAACTGTATTGTAATAAATTTTTTGTTTATTTCTCTGCAGGTCCCAAATATGAACAGCACCACTCAAACTTCAACTGCTCTGAAACTTCCAGTGCCAGCTAGTAAAGATGACATTAGTTAGTCTAATGCCCTAGTTTAACCACCTAGAGCTGGTCTATCAAAGATCGAGGTCTAGTGCTCTATAATATGCATATTTTAATCACAAGAAAGCAAGAGGATGCTAATACCTGAGACTTCTGGATAAGGAAAATAGTTGAGAAAGGAAAAAAAAACTTTTAATCATTAGACTGTGAAACGCTTACAGTTCAAGACCATCTACTTTTTATGGCTTTTAATCTAATGGAATTACCATCAAGTACTAATTGCCACATATTAAATGATGCATCATTACAGGTTAACATTTTCCATCTTTCATTTCTAAAGCTCTTAAGAACTCTCCCTCCTTTCTTTGAATCAGTATTTATAAAGTGACATGCTTGCCCTGTCAAATTTTAGCTAGATAATACTATGTTAGACTATACCAACTCCTCAATTTTTAACATGGCACATATGCTTCAAAGTGTAATTAAGAGTTGAAAACTTAATAGAAATTGATCATGTTAAGAAAAACACAAGCATAGTAAAAAATACTAACGTGCAGTCTGTGGATCATTATAGTCGAAATGAGTTAGATTTTCCATTGCAAACCCGTGGGACTAATTCTGACCTTACACACATTTAACTCCACTGAAACACAGGCCCACATTCTCCCCTGGGTTGCACTTTTGCAACTGCATCAATTTTCAGAAGTAAACTTGAAAATCTTAATATCACTGTACCTCATTTACATGAGGGTAAACTCCTGACCTCAGATAAACACTAGTGACCGAGTGGGTTTTTGCTAACAGTATTTTAAGTGACCAAGCTGCGTCCAGTTTGGATTATACACAGCAAGCAAAGTTATCCAAAACTATGCTGTTACAGTGTCTTTCAAGCTATACTTCCATTCATAACTGCACAAAAGGAAGAGAATGGAGAGATAGGAATAAAGACAAAAAAAGAGACAGAAATTAAATTGTTTTTTCAAATGGGATTCCTATGTTGGGAAGCTATTAGAAGATGATGTTAAAAGATGAATACTTCAACATCAGATTGGCAAAGCACAACACATGTTAGGCTGACTGGAAAAGACACTCAGCGGTATCAAGGCAAACAACTCAAAAGTTAAACAATAAAATGGATTTTATGGTTATTCAATCATTTATTAAGACAGACATGAGCACGGGCAGAGAGCCTGCAACCTTATGGCATCCCACAGCTGATCTCAGTCCTACCTGGTCTGTGCAGGTGATGCTGCTGGAAAGTGTGATGGAGGGACCCCTGACAGAGCAGCATTGCACAGGCACTTATCCACAAATACAGGACCCAGGACATTGCAGAGACCACTGCCATTCTCTAAACAAAATATTAGACACACATTATTATCCATCGCCTCACAGCACACAGAATAGTCAGCTTCCATTATAACATTTTAACTCCTTTTTGTTAAACATCTTTCATTTCCTGGTTATTTTTCCCCCTGCAGGATGCAATTGTCATACAACAAAGGTCATATCCAAAAAGGACAGCTGAGGTAACAAAACGTCAACACAGAAGCCTGCATAACTTTAATAATTCAGTGCCAAAAGTGAAACTATACTGATCCGAGTACTAGGGAAAAAACCCCAAACCCAATGTAAAAAGAAGGCTGGGAAATATTCCCACACTGTTCTACCACTGAACTGACAAAGGGGGAATTCACAAAACCAGCCAAAAGCCATGATCTTCAGACAGGAAGAGAACTACTTTCAATATATTACAGATAGGCATATAGCATTAGCAGATGTCTCAGAAGCATTTCAAACATACTCCTTTCCCGAGACTGTAAGACTAATACCGACCCAGTAGGTAACAGATTGTTGTTTTTGACTTCTGTGAGCATTAATTTTTAATCAGTGCTGTCTGCTAAACAAAGTAATTGTTTCTCAGAATTCTGTTCTAATCTCTAGATAAAAATCAGCTTCCTTTTATTTGACCTACCAGCGTAAAAATATCTCAAGCGTGGTCCAACAGAACTTCTACGTATTAGATAGAAGATCTGATCTTTTCACAAAAGAGATCGCAACAAGAGTCTTTTTCCTTCCACAAAGGACAATTTCTTTCTCTATCCTAATGCAGGCATATTTGGCCACCCAATATAGGTGAGTGTGTACTTTCCTACTTGTATTTATTTTCCTATTAACTAGCTAAATTCTCCGAGTTTGTAACTTCAACAGCTCTTTCTCAGCGCCTGCAAGGATCGGGAGGTTTGCAAGGCTCAGCTACGCTACACATCGTCCGGTTCCCTTAACGACACCTTCTGCTGCATTTCATATTGCCAAATTAATCAAACTTCAGGCACTCTCCTTTTTCAGCCAATGACACGATGCCTTTTCCTAGCTAATAATCCAATCAGCTGAACCTAGTTTTCACAGAGGAAGATACACTTTGGAAGATAAAATCTCTTGCATAGAAAAAAAAACATCATGCCTTCACAGAAAAATTAAGAAAAAAAATAAGAAGCTGGTATGTAGCCTATCAGGAGGATTTCTGCAGTGGAAAAAGATAGCAGCATTAAATAATAATGAAATGTAAGTGTCAATAAAATATATACATAGAAGATTTTTTTTCTTATTTTAAAGCAGACTGTCTTTCAGAAGCTTTTAAAGACTAACTGGCTGGGAAAAAAATACACATGAACTTACAAGTATAATTAGCTGAAAACAGCAAAACATGGTGATTAGCATAAGACTATTCCTTTTTCTGTACTGGGCATTTGATACACTATTCAGCATACAATTAGTTTAATTCCCTACTGTTTACTGTATATAGTATACTTTTTATCCCCTGTTTTTAGACCAAGTAATCTTGCAAAATAGATTCACTCCCTCAAAGCAGGGAGCTCCCAGCAGACTTCCCATGTCCTCGGGACTTAATGCCTTATTGTAATTTTTTGTGCTCTCCTGCTTTTTGTACAAAAAGCAAGAAGGGAAAGGTGACTCTCACACATAGTGATACTGGAGGTATTCAGGCTCTTATTTAAACTGAACTTTATAAATCCTAGGCAAACAGTGAAGCAAAGCCAAACTTGGTCTGCTAAATGCTCCTGTGTCTTTCTCCAGACATCATATTCTTAACCACATGGACAGAAGACTTACCTAACCCACCTCATATTTTGATTATTAACTCTCTGGATTTTTTGTTGTTTGTTTTTTAAACACTTTCTAAACCAACATTGTTTCAAAATAGTTTTGCTCAGTTCCCAGCATTTCTTACAAGCATTTCTTCATGTACTTTTTTTTTTTTTTAAAGCAAACTGCTATCTCACACAGTTTTATGCAAAGAGATCATCTTATTACTAGTAACAAACACAGCAAGTACTCCTCCAGTTATTATCTGAGCTCCAGATCTGCTTTCTGAATCTTAAATCCTAAGGAAGCTCCTTACCTGAATAATCCAACCAAGAGGAGAGCACTCTATTAGTGTTCATTGGAAAGATCTAACACTTCTTTAAATCCATCTGTACCACAATAAAGGATTTTTAATAGCTTCCCAATAATCTTCTTTATCAGGATTAAAAAAACAAAAAACAAAAACCTTTTTCGTTACAAATCCTATTCCCAGAGTAGAAAAGACATCTGAACTCTCAGACTCTGCCGTCAGAAAAGTGGCCAAGGTTTGAGGGGTGGAAACCTTCTCATTTTCACCTTTAAATCATCTCCTAGCAGCACCTTCTGCTTGATGAGATCTCTAAAGTGATCTTGAGATAATTTGCAGCTTCCAGTATACTTAAGGATGAGGCTCAGTGTATGTTTAATCACAGAGCAGCCTCACTCCAGCACGAGCAGTGCAGAGTAAGGCAGCTGTACGTACACTGCTATATGATGCTGTAAGTACCGTAGCCTATTTCAATACATCCCTGCTCTGGGAAGTATCACATGCCTTAAAGCGACACAGCCCTCAACTGCACGCCACAGCGAGGCACTCTGCTAGGCGCTGTGGCTTAACAACCGGAGCAGCATTTAAATACTGGCACATCGAGACTCCGCACGGCGCCGACTATCAAAAGAGCAGCTGGCTTTCTCCGTCAGGAGAGCAGGTATGAATGGGCAGAGGCAGGCAGAAGAGCACCGATGGAAAGACAAAAGAGTCGTAGTGGCAAAGGAGATGCAGTAGCCAATGACAAATCCTAGAGATGCTTTAATTATGCCAGCAGAGGCTTTACTCCCAAGGCTTGTTCTCTTACACTTGCTTGCAAGAGGCAAGTGAGACTTAAGGAAGCCTATCCCATTTTACAGGCAAACGGTACATGCTCATGAATGCGGAAGGGTGGTGCAAGGAAAGTGTGTAGAAGCACAAGGGAAAGACAGAGGAATGCAAAAGAATAAACCTATACACTTGCAGGAGCTTTTCAACACCTTGCTGCAGCTCTGAATAAAATCTTTCCTTACAACTCCATTTCCGATGCATCTCGACAGACAATGGGAGGAGAGCACTGTTTCACTCCTATATGCCAAGTCTCAGATATACCAAATTATTTATTACAATTATTTATCGTCCGTCTCTTAAGTGGCCATTTACAGGAATAGTCTGGTTTCTTCTTCTTCTTGTACTATATGTAATTATTTTTTAAAGAGCAATTGTATGTACTTTAATACATGGCCAAAAAACCCATTCACTTGGCATTATGACTCTCACTTCTGCCTACAGAAGGAGAAATGCTGGGAGATAAAAACAGAAGCTTCCATTTTAAGAGCCCAGAGTGCAGTGTAACACAATGTGGGTTTTTTTCCTCTATGATCAGTGGTAGAGAAGCATATACCTTCACTGCTTACCAACTCCAGACACCAAACAATAGTAAATAGTAACAGTAATAAGTACCCTTCCCCTCAAGTACCTCCTTCTCAACATCCAAGGATGCATCTCTCAGTGGAGGCTCTCACAAAGAAGTGCTATGACTTTCCTTAACAGACTGTATGCCTCCCTCAGAGCCACTGTATTTTATTGGGTAATGCATATGAAAAGACTGGTCCTACAGACTGACAGGATCATTATGCTGTCTTTGACACAGTGCCTCAGAATAGCTCCTCATTACAACCTTGCTATCATAAAGCAATTGGGAGATACGAGGTGACACGGGCAAGAGCTGGAGGCAGATCGTCCCCACACCAGCCCCTGTAGCAGCACAGCTCCTAGCAGAGCCCAGAGCAGCTGTGGGGAGACAGCAGCTCAGAACAAGCCTTCTTGTGACCAGGGATGCTTTCAAAATGTCAGCATTTATTTCAGGTGCTTTGTATGAAAACACATGGAGCTGGCACACTTGCGAACACAAGGCCCACATCAGAAGGCAAGGGCTGAAGGGCTGCAGTGGGTTCTTGTCAAAGCTATGGGGAAGCTCAACACCTTCCCTCTTTCCACAGGGGCATGGCAAGCTTTTTGCAGCACCTCAGAGGGGCAGGTGATGTGAAGTTATTTTAAAATGGCACCTTTTAAGTAAATTATGTTCCCTCTAGGACATGTGGGGTGCCAAAGAGGAAAAGGGTAAGGATTAAGGAGCTGCAAGGTGAGAGAAGGGAGAGGGACTGCAAAAAGCAACTAAAGGGCCTCATGGAGAAGGCGGAGAATGGGACAAATTGTGACCACACACCTCGGCAGAGTAAGCAAAGCCAGATTTATGCAAGATACAGATTTATGTAAGGTACAATAGAACTGTCACTCTGCCAAACACTGCTGACTCCTAGCTCCATGAGGCTAATGCCACCATAACCCCTGACAGATGCTGCTATTGCACAGGACAAGCTCTTCAGAAAAATGGGACATGTTGCTTCCATGGGATAAGGGGAAAGATCAGAGGAACAGAAGAGAACATGAAACAGGCTGCACTTCTAGCTCTTCCCCTGGCTCCTGGCATCAGACAGGAGCAGAGGAGTCCTTGGCAAGTCTTGTAGTAGCTTCCTCACACCTGCTTTGATATCTTTGCTGCCAATTTTAACTTTCAGTGGGCCAACAAAACAAAGCAGCTCCTCTTATCCCGCTTTCAGCTGGGTATAGTGTCATCTTCACCTGAGGCTTTGAGGCTTTACTTTTTCCCCTTCCCATTTTGGGTATCAACATCTCTGACAGGGAGTGTTGCTTTACTTGTGCCCACAAACCCATGTGTTGAATTTGGGGCTACTGAAAAGACTGGATAGAGAATATAGGAAGGAAGTGCAAAGTGCCAGTGCACAGGCTGCACACTGCCAAATCCTTTGTCAGAAAAAAGGTAAGGCAGAAAAATTTATCTCTGAAAAAAGGGAGATGGGGCAAAGACATATCAACCTTCATGTACAATGGCAGTGCTGCTCAGCACTGGAGCACGATGGATCTGGGCCCTGCAAAAGGGCAAAACAGCCTTTGGGTTGCATGGTCCAAGGGGAAAAGGGGCAAAAAGCAGACACAGGCTAGGGAGATCTGCAATTTGTGCATCCAGAGCAGTCAGCTTATGAACAAGACATTATCTGTCCAGAGAAGTATCTTGGGAAGATGTAGATAGAACTGTGGGGAAGCAGAGCATTCAAGAACGAAGTCTGATTCCTCAACTCCCTCCCACTCTCTGGCAGCAGCCATGGCAAAGCTGAACCTGTGATGTGCCCATCTTGGGAGCAACGGAGACATGTAGGTATGGAAAAGACCGGGGACAGCGAGGGTATTAGGTGAGGGAGACGTTCGTAGCTCCATCCTACCAGTGCTTGCCTACTCCTCTCAGCAGCCCAGTCTTCTCATCTGTCCCCTTTCTTACTTGGTCCTTCCACCTCTGATAATATGCGATATTCCCTAGGTGAAGGCAGGTTGCAAAGGGTCAGCAGGCAAACTGCCTTTGATATAGGCTCCTTAACAAATAAGGATTGTATTCACAGGAATAGCCTTTTTTTCCAGGTTCTACCATTCATCTGAAGATGCCAAGTGAATGATAAAAAATAAGGAAATAAAAATAATGCTCCTCATTGCCTGGACCTCTATGTATCACAAGTTTGTGACACACAAGAGGAGAGCATATGCAAGTCAGACTCATGCAGACAGCGGACTGGCAGTTGCACTCAAATAAGGGCCTTTGGCCTCTACTTTTGAATGTTACCTCCGCTGCTCTTTTCCTCCTCCCCCACACATGCCTTTTCCCATGTAGAGATTTAATATAACAAATCCCAGGCGTATATTTTACAGGATCTGAAATAGGCGCACCACGTTTGAAATGCAAAACATATTAGTTCTAGTGCTCCTGGGACAATGCAGCTTTGCTTTTTACAGATCTGTTCTCCATCCCTCTAAGCTGCATCCTCCCACCCTACAAGTCTTTTGCATATACCCAGATTTGCTTTTGGCTGCTGACTGGGCAAAAAACAGCGCACACTGCAGCCCATCAGTATGAATGTTCCTACTCTAGGAGAGCCACATTACATCTAACAACAAATTTTACCTTACCTCCATTTTTGATACGAACCTGGAAAACCCTACTTCCGGTTGCTGCCCAAAGCCCTTCCGGTCTCAGTTCCCCCCACTCTTCCTCCTCTCTTGAAGGAGACCTGGTCATCCCAACCTCAATGAATGAACTGAATGAATTTCCTCTCTTCCCACATCTTTAACACTAGTTAAATCCTTCAGTTTGTATTGTCAGGTTTTCTCCTTTAGCTTTTCCAGTGGCAAGAGGAGATACAATAGTTATGCAAGAGTGCACCCATACTGAGCATAAAAAAAGCCCCCAAACTCCGCAAGCCTGCCAAAAAGCTGCAAGTTTTTTCCCCACAGCAAGGGAGGGAACAAGACACCAAAGAAAAGTCTAATGATTTCTTTGTCTATGACTACTGCCTCTTCTGGCCAAATAGAGAAACTACACACACCAGAAGCTTAAAGAACAGCAAGAGAGGTTCAGGTGAAAGCCAAAATCCTGGATTTGCCAGACAAGTCTCGGACTTTTCCCTCCTACCTTATCTAACACTCCAAGACTTCTCTCACCTCAACCATCCTGTGTGGACATGCTGCTAATGCACTGCCGCTAGGGTAACACAAGAGGAACAGAGTGTGCCAAGGAGCAACACCAGAGCTACACACGTAGGGAAACCCTTTCCCACAGGCACCAGCTCACACAGCTATTGCTCCACTTCAGGCACAGCCTCTGCCAGGAATTCTGCTCTGTTCCCTCTACAGATGCATCTATGCTGTAAAGGGGACTCTTCCCTATCATACAGGGACACCAGGGGAACAGCACATCACACTGGATAGAGAAGCTCCGGTTGGTACACTTAGCGCACAAAAACCTGGTGGCTACTCCCCACCCAGAGAAGGTGCTTCCTATCCTCTATTTGCATGTGGCATCCTTGTAACACCTTCCTCCTTGTTTTGCAGCCACTCCAAACAACTTGCTTAGCAGAAGCAGAAGTTTATCGGCCTCTCTTAAGGTACAGGAAACATCAACCAGCCAGATGTCATAGCCAGATCCATTAAAATAAACAGAAAGCATCATAAATAGCCTGTACTGGAATGAACAAAGAGTTGAACCACCAATAGCAATACCGGATGAAGGGGAGAGAAGTAGGAAAGCATAGCATAAGACTTTCACTGTTATTACTTCCAGCCTACCTTAAAGGTGCTGTTTTATCTTGTTAAAAGGTGATCCAGTCTTCACAGTTCCAGCATTTGTGAGGCAAAGATTCTGCTTCTTACAAGTTTGCCATGTCTAAGAGAGGAGAGAAATAAAAAAATAGAACACATCTATATTTGTCAAGGAAGTTTGTATCAAAAAGTTTGTCCTAGTTATTTCTAAATTATATAGGACAACACACAAAAACCTCAACCCTTATCTATAACTTGCCATTAACTAAAAAGAGATCATTAGTATCTGCTAAAGAGTAGCAAGAGGCAGTAAGTTATCATCAAGGAACAAAATTTCAATATCATCCAGTATATTCAAAATAGAACTGTGACAGTTGACTGTGTTCAAGATATCATGGCAGGGAAACATAGCCTTCATATAACGGAAGTTGTTTATTTAATAATTTCAATTTAGAGGTATCAAAGCAAAGACATCTAAGTTGAAGTAACCCTGGAGTGATGCCAGCCATGGTGTTGTTGTCAAGTAATAAAACTGTTATCCTTTATCAGCTATACATTAGCTGTAGAGATCAGC